AAAGCAGTTTCTGGAGCTGCATTTTTTCACCATTATTACAGCAAACAAACAAGAAGGCCTTTTATTCAAGAATTGCTGTTCTCTCCCTACTTTCATAACAGAAAATGACTGTTATTATACTTGCTTGCAGATGGCAAAGGCAATAACTTTAAATACCCTCTTTTGGTTTTAGAATATTTGCTTACAGTACAGCCTATAAAAGAAAAAAAAAACTATTTAAAAATTAAAAAGAGAGCACTTCATTAATGATTGCTATAGTAACATTTTAAAATATCCATGTTACCTGATGATTGGTGGGTTCTTCTTTAAAAGTAAAGTGTTTATCCAAAACCCAAATTAATTATGATGGCTACCTTAAGATAATAATGATGCCTAATATATCAGTAATTTAAAGAGTTTTCTCCCTGGATTGAAATCTTTTCCTCCTTGTAACTTAGTTGGTACAAATAAATATGAAGAATTCTTCTTGTTAAGATTATTGTATTAAACCTTTAGAACTAATGGTAACTGAAAAGACCACTATCACAGTCTATAGCCAACAGGGAAAAAATGGATATATGAAGTATCTTGGTTTGTTTAGAGCAATAATTTGGTATTGTTTGCAGATAATATCTCACAACACACATTTACAAGCAAAGGCCAAGATTTTCAAACTGTTGAAGTCAGAGAGATAGTGAATGTTAGTCATCCCTGACAAATCACACTACTTAGTTAAATATTGATGGCTGAGCCTAAAAGTAGGTACACACTACTGAAAGCATTTAGTAAAATTCCAAAAGCTCGATAACTAAATGATACTTAAATCCTTGCGCATGATTTTTTCATATTTTTAATACACACCTTGAATTGGGATAAATGCAACAGTTTGTATATATTTCAGACTTATAAACATTAGAATTAAATTCAGCATGTGATAAACTGACTTCTGTAACTGCTGAGATTCCTTTGCCCCTCCTATTTTCCAATACATAGTAGTATTCTAAATCTACATCTAAACAATTTGGCGGATTTAACATGTCTATGCTGCATTGAATCATCCTGAGGAACATCACCATGAAAAGCCCACACTGCCCACCCACTTTTCTCCACATCCTGAGTGTTAACAGGATGTAATTTAGCTACTGTTAGAGCAGTGGTGGGCATGCCCAGTACTGCTGTTATAGCATGACTGACACTAAGAGTCTGGGTATGCTGTGGGCAGGGCATATGCCAGACAGCAGCTATGTGACATTCTTTTGGCACTTAAGCTAGGCACAAAGATTCAAAAAGCCTGAGCCTGAATTGATTCAATCTTTGCAGTTTGTCTAACCTTGCTAGGCTGAACCAGTTTGCAAGTGCACAGACATTCCCTCTGGACTGAGAAAATGCAGGCACATGGCTCAGGCTAGAAACTGGGGGGTACTAGAGCAACCCTCTTCCCTTCTATAAAGCTGAGCTGGGGGGGGGGCATGGCCAGGCCCTGGCAAGATACTCTGATTAGGGAGGGGTCCCCCCACCCTCGCTGCTCCTGAACGGAGAGGGAGCCAGAGGCAGTTGATAACACAGCATTTAGCACCCCATCAAGAATAAAAAGCCTCTTTCATTAATTCAAGCTCTTCTTAAACAACTTTTTCCAAGGAAGGAACGGAGGGACTTTACCAACTAACCTGTTGATTAGCTCCAAAAATCCTTTAGCAGACAGTATCCTGTCTGTCTTTGTCCTGTCTGCCTTACACAGACACTTCTCAGCATTACTTAGCATACCACATGCTAAGTACAGTCCCTGCTGTAGGAAAGGGGAGGGGGAAATCCCTACTTGAGCAGGGAGTTCTCAGGTAGGGATTCCCTACTTGAGAATAGGGGGAAGCTAGGCAGACACTGCTGTGCCTACCATCTCTGCCTGAGCTCCACCTAGGGAGCAGAGGGGAGGGGCCAGCCCTGCTCTGGAGCAGAAAGCCCCACCCAGGGCTGCAAAGCATTTGGGGTGCTGGGGGACTCTGGTTTAAGTTAAACCAGGAATGGGTCTGGTACAGACATTGCATAAACCAGTTTACCAAAATCAGTTGAGTCTGCTACTACATTCAACCAAGTTTATCTCGAACCAGTTTCAGCCATTTTAAAGCTGGTTTATATGCACTGAACATCTGTTCTGCTACAGGTTTAAATCAGTTTATGATCACTTAAACTGATTTATGTGTATATCTATCCTTAGCCTTAGTGTTTTTAAAGCTGGAGCAAGTTCACAAGGCATATTTTCATGGCCTCATTCATAATCACAGTCCAGCCTGGTATAGAGATGGCCACTCTTTCAATTTTACTAACTTGCTTTAACCCAAGTGAGTATGAATATATTCTAAGCTGTCTTGATAGTGTGAAGTTGTGTGAGGTCTTGTTTTTCCTGACAATATTTTCATCTTTCCCACAGCTGCTACTAAGAAACTTCATCCGCATGAAGCGTTGTGTCATGGTTCTTATAAATGCCGCCTACTATGTAAACAGTTGCTTTGACTGGGATTCACCCCCAAGGAGTCTTGCTGCTTTTGTGGTATGATCATCTTGTAATATTTCTCATCATTTTTGGTCAAGGTGGTTTGTTTGGTTGGGTATAATGTTCCTGTTATCATCCAGTCTTCAAAATGGCTGTATGGCCTTGGCTTTCCTCCAGGCTGAAATTCAACCTGTTTTTTATATGTACTTTTTATTTAAATTCTAAAAACAGAATTAAGTTTAAAAGTTCATGGGTTCAAGAAAGAAAATGTTTGCCTGGTGGATATGTGTATAAATACGATGGAGCAAAACCAGAATTTGCTAACAATTCATTTTTGCCTTGCATAAGTAGTTCTTTTGACACCAGTATTATCAATTTGCAGGGCTTGGCACAATATCTGTCTCTTTTTTTTCAATATTTTTTGTACTTTAAAATTAAAGTTGTTTAAAATACAGACCTCTGAGGGAAAACCCTTTGTACAGATGTTTGGTACACATTATTAACATGGCATTTATGTTATGAGGGGAATCAGATCTTTCACTTGCTAAATAAATATTATATTTGAAAGTTTGTTTATAAAAATGTGAGTAGCCCTAGACCAAAACAGTTACTTCTCAGAGAAAATGTAATTGTCTGCTGTAAATATTCTTTTTTAGTCCCTAAATTCTGGCTCCAGGTTGCATCTTGTGGTCCCATGAAACTCTAATTGCACCCCAAACATTATTTTTGTTAAGGTTTGCACACTTGATATAAAATATAGAAAATATAGAGTTAAAACTCTGTGTCCTTTTAGTAAATTCTGTGCACTTTATGTTGTTGCTTTATAATGACATGAGCTTCAAACCCACAGCCAAATTTGTCACTTGGATTTTGCCAGTTGGACATCCAGATTGTCAGGGTGGGAGCGGATGTACACACACAACTTTGGGCAGACTCGGAAACTGACTGTCGTATCTCACAAGTGGGAAGAGCTGTCTGGGTTGTCTTGGAGCTGCACTGAATCACTACGCCTAGGCAGGGATCCTTTTGTACTGTGTCTGGCGTTTAAAGCAGTTGTCTTCTAACAGGGGGTACTGTACCACTACCTAGCCACCATTGGGAGGCAAATACTTGCCCTGTTGCAGCTTCTGTGAATGTGAAAGGGTTGTATATGACACCCTCTGTGCACACAGATATGAACATTACACAAAGAATGAGTATGAACTGTGAACATCTCAGTTTTTGACTAATGCTGTTGTCTACAATAATATAAATATATCTTCTAGGCCTTAATTTAAAAGGACGATAAACTTCTCTCCCTGTTTCTCAGTTTAGATGATAAAAACTCTGTTATGATAGTGCTTGTTTCTCTGTAAGGTCACATTTTCACGTTAGCACTGCTATTCAAATCAGTAAATGTTCAGCTGTCCAAATCTCCTTTCACTGCAGACATGGAAATCCTTTTTAATGTCAATAGGATATGGGGAAATGTATGGCAAGCATGGTCGTTTCTATCTTGTGGTCCACTGCTGTCACCATGAAGAAAGTTGTGTCACCATTTATCTTAATAGAACATGACCAGAAGCCACCTTAACAAGCAGTTCCGAATAGATAAATGCAGACCTTTTATTTTGGTGCCATAGCAAATATCCTTTTTACACTAGTTATAGTACATTGTAGTAGAAACATTTCTGGTTATAGAAAAATATACTTGTTTTTCTTCCCCCACATAACAGACCATGTTTTTTTATAACAGTTACTTTAAGAACTGGCATTGATCTACTGCATCTATTTCAGTACTGTATCTTTAAAACTATTTCTGTCCTGCCCTACATCATAGGGTTCTACTTATGGTTACTATTTTCAAGTCTCTCTTTCCAAGGAGCATGTCTCAACAGATATTTTAAAGACTTTTTTTTCTGCTTCCTGTGTTGTAAAAGATGTATATAACTGTACCTCTAGTTAAATAGACATTTGTTACTTAAACAATATCTCTGAGAATTTAGCAAGGAATTTAACAAGGATTAGTGGAGATTGTGATTCAAAGTTGTAGCTGGAATTTCATAGCTTCCCCACATCCCTGTAAAATTCAATACTGTCTTGTGGAAGTGTGGTTATGGGAAGATGTAAGACTAAATCATTTTAAAAGGTGGGGGAGGATGGTGAATCTACTGATTGGCAGCAAGTGTCAACTGGTCCTCCACAGCAGTTTTGTCTGCCCATTCCTATACCACTGTACTGAAGTTAATTTGCTGTACCTTTAAAGTGAAATGAAAAAGAATGAGGAGCCCAATGCTGAGCTGGACAGAATGAAGTGCCTGAAGGGTCACCCTGGTGGTCTCAGGGCACCCCCCAAATTTATAACAACATTGAAGGCATGGCAAGTGAGAGTGATGGAGGTGACTGATGAAGTGTCCAGAATGCCTAATAATCTCAGTGAGATGCTAGACCACACAAAGCACCTAAGGGGAACAGAAGCCTGTTACAGAGACCAATAAACAACATTTTATAAATTAACTTTAAAATTAACCATTCAGTCTTCTAAAAGGACTGGAAGACATAGGCTTCTACATTAAGCCATGTCTAATATACAGTAGTAAAATAAGGGTTTCAGGCAGTTTTACAAAATGAAAAACTGATTTTTTTCCCAAATCATCAAAATCCTTGAATAGTTTGTTTGACTGATCAAAATTTATGATAAATCCCAAATTCCCGTTCTTCCTGTCTCACTCTAATCCCTCCTTCTAGATATGCTCACATGCACATGATGATAGAATACTGTAGAAAAAAATATTCTAAAATCAGTGAAGAAAGGAATACAAGGGAGTCACAGCTTCAGGTGTGATGAGAAAATCTTTCCATATCAGATGATCTACACACTACTGAAAAGGGGGCTTTATAATGAAAACACAAACAGACCTTTTAAATGTATACGGTAATGCTATTTTACGTTAGTTATTTACTCACGGTTTCTTATACATTCAAATGTTCACTGATGCTCTTTTCAAAGTTAGTAGGTTTAGTGGTACAGTTTTTGACTTCGGGAATCATAGCAGTCATCTTAGGCTATGCCTCTACAGTAAACTTACCATCCTCATCACACTGTGCTGTTCCAGGTGAGTTTCCTCCTTCTGTATAGCACTTGGGACAGCTAATTAGTCCATTTGGGCTAATTAGCTCACCCTGGTACATATGTAGTTGTAGCTATACAGCTTGTTTTTTAAGAAGTTCACCCAGAGCAACACAGCATTCTTCAGAACTTCCTCAATGTGATGTTGAATTTATCAGATAAACCTACCCCAAGCTATGTCTACACAGGGCCCATTTACATGTGCATGAATGTGCCATTGCTACTGTGCTTTAAGTTTAGTACCTCTAATATAACTAACTAATTGCACAGTAGCCGGCACTACTGCACAGTAGCAAAGGCACACGGTCTTTTCATGATGCTTAATGCTCAGTAGACTAATTCTATGGCGCATTAACCTACTGCACATTAAGCATCTCATGGAGATGTGCCTATAGAGACTAGAAACTTTAAAGTATTTCAGAATGCTTTTGTCCCAAAACTGGGTTGCCTGTTGAACTTCAAAGTCCAGTGAAATGCTAAAAAATTGTCAACCTGGGGTTCCGAGTTAATTTTTTCTCACGGATTTCCAGACCTTCTGGAAGACAAGTGTGGGGACTTTCTAGCTTATACATTGCCTGTACAAAAAAAACTCTAAAAGTCTGTTGCACTTTCAAAATACCATGATCTTCAACGGGAATTTTCCATGAATAACGCCTTCAGTATCTGCTCAATTTTTACTTTATTTTTTTTACTGTGGCTCAATAAATCACAATAAATATAAAAGTTTGAGAAGCATCATATTATTACTACATAAATACATTTTTTGAATGAAAGCTTTTATATTATTGTGTCATTTACTTTAGTAGGATATTCTCAAGAAAATCCTGCTTCTGTGTTAGCAGTTCATGGAACATAAATTGTATGATGAGAATGACCTGACTTTGAATCTAAAATATAGTAGAATTGCTATGCTGACAATATCTTTTTGTCAGACTATCTTCCTCGTATGTTTTCTTTGCCAACTGTTAATTAAAAGAAATAAATAGCAACAATATTCAATTAATATCAAAATTGTAAAACAGTCCTATTAAATCTTCAGTGGCTCTATTTTGCCAAGATATTGGTCACAGATAGAAAATGTGATCTTTTTTAATAGTTATGATACTCTTAACACCTAGGCAAAAAAGAAATGAGTATAATACAAAGGGGGAGCCTTCACTTTAAATTTGATTGCTTTCCTTTAGGTAAGACAAATACTTAACATCATCTCAACATATTTTTCTTCTTAATAATTAATTAATCAATAATTAATATGGTATTTAAGTGCATACATTTGTACTGTTATATAATATGCACAAGTGGCAAGATTTCTCTTTGGACTCATCTTCTGTAGGCACTGAAATGTCTACTAAATTGAGTCTAATTTCCATCAGACTCTTGACCAGACATTTGTGTTCTTGTGGATGTCAGTGGGTGCAGCATGGGGGGAAAAAGTGTATACTCTCTCTTTCCAGTACTGTCATTTCTCACTGTAATGAGTGCAAAAATAATTGGACAACTGAGCTATCAGTAAAAGGACACACTTCAATGTGAGTCAGTGAATTATTTTACAGGACAAACTTTAATCTTTAAATGTGATTGTAGATAATTTGTGCTACCATCTGTCCATTTGGAATTCTTTTAGCCTTTTCAGTCGTTATACAGTAAGTGTTGCCGTGTTTAACATTAACATTTGATATTTTACACATTTAATTTCTGTACTGCTGCATGGTCCTTGGGGAGCTGTGCTCTAGTGCTACATGAGAGAGACAAAGTATTGATCAGTTAACATTTCAGCTACATTTATGTATGTCGCAAAATTAATGAAAATGCCAGACAAAAATGTCAGAGTGCACAAAAAGGTAGAATTTAAATTTGGTAGTTTAATGAAAAGTTTAAGATGTGCATTATCAAAAATGTCCCTTTGCCTTTAAAGTACAATTCATAACAGAATAACTAAAGGAACCAC